TCCGTCCGTCCGTCTGTCTGTCTCTCTGTCTGCCTTCCTGTCTGTCTGTCTGCCTGCCTGCCTGCCTGTCTGTCTGTCTGTCTGTCTGTCTGTCTAAGAGGTCTAAGCTCAGGCCTTGTGGTTTGCTCAGCTTGCTTCCTCACAAATGACAATTTACTACCGGGCCATGCCTCTCTCTAATCCAGATTTTTTTGAAGTTGAGATTATGTGCACTTTCTGCATTGGCTGGCCTTGAACTCTGATCCTCCAAATAGCCTTCTAAGAAGCTGGGACATGAGCCATTGATGCCTAGCATATTTGTTCATTTTTTATAGCTTATGGTGCCCAATTTATAAACTAAATCTTATCAGAGTATGCATGCCCAGGTAAAAACACAGGGTGTATATAGTGTTTAGTCATCCATGTCTTCAGACATTCATTAGAGAATCTTGGCCTGTGACCCCTGAAGAAAAGGAGAGGACCATTTTATTTTAGGAAAAAAAAATATTACTTACTGGGAAGGTTTAATTATTTTTTTTCTGTGGCACTGAAGACTTTAGGGAGAAAGTTTATAATGTCCATTCAGTTAATTACATAAATAACCAGTCATTTGCCTATTTAAATAGAGCTGGGGAATCTCATTGCCTACCTAGTGAATTAGGTTGCCTGTACTGTCTTCATTTTTGTACAGGGGATTTCTCTAAAGAAGCAAGCCAGATGATGTGTTAAATACCTCTGGAATTCTCACTAATGAGTGTTAGAAAGCAGCAGATATCACTCCAGTGGATTAAGGAAGTTAACATAGTTTTCAAAGCTATCTAACTCCCAACCTGGGACAAGTTTTGGTAACAAGACAACCTTAAATGTTTCCATTACTGTTCAAATGCAATGAGGAGGGGTTAGCAACTGGAGAATTACCCACTTTTAGAGTAAGAAGGGATCTTGGGGATGATTTAGTTCAGCCCTGTCAGTTTTATACAAATTCTATAAAGCTGAAACCTGTAGAAGTTTAGTGAGTTGCCGTAGGTCAATGAACTAATAAGCAGTGGAAATGGGGTTGGAACCCACTTCTTTTTACTGTCAATCATCTCTCTCTCTCTCTCTTTCTCTCTCTGTCAATCCATCTCTCTCTCTCTCTATATATATACACTTATACATATGTGTGTGTGTGTGTGTGTGTGTGTGTGTATATATATATATATATATAAAATATTCCCTGACAACAATGTTAGTCTTTTTAGAGTTTTCTGTTTTCCATGAGTTGCAAGCTGCTTTGATATTCATCAATACATTGATAAGAAAGTGCTGATTCTTGGGAAAATCCATTTAATGGATTAGTACAAGTTTCCTTCTCCACGGAAGTGAGGAATGGACAGCTGCCCAGAGGTTTGTAAAATGCACGTGTTGTTGGCCACACAGACTGAGCTTTTTCCTGTGTTCTTGGCCAGGAATTCATGTGGCTGTACTGAATATGTTGCTGAGGGAAGGGATGGGTTAACTATACAGCAAAGTTATTCTTTAATACAAGTGATACACTTTCCTTTTTATAACACACATGTGATTTGACATTGAAATAAAATGCAGATGCTTCTTTGATTGGCGTATTCCCCGTTGTGCTTTTCTAAAACACCTTCACATATGGTCTGCCTCATTCCTGAGAAATGACTTGTTGTTTATGTCATACAAACAGAACAGATTGATTTTACAGTGAGTAAGGAGGTTGATGAATTGTACATTGGAGAGAAATCCTTGTCTTGGCAATCTAAACACTCGAAAATAAATGTTACTTTTTGGAAAAGGCTCTCATGATACACGCATGATCCTTTTATTTTGTGCCTCCCTTTCTAGGGGTTAAATGGAATTTTGGTCAACAGAAATGTACTTACAATCACCTCAAAATACAATTTTTCTTTTCACCAATGGATGTATCCTGAGATCCGTCAGGTCAAAGCTATGACAGAGTTATCCCAAAAGAGCCCGCCTCAAATGTTCACTTCAATACTGTATCTGCACTATGGCCAGAATAAAACAACTCTGGCATTGGATAGGAGAGTAATGCTGCTTCCTTATTTGCCATGTGATTTTTTAAAATATACCCTTCAAATCTATCTGCCCTGTTCTTTTTTCTCAGAAGACACTTTAGTTTTTCCCTTCTTCTCTGTCTTGATAACATAGCTATCAAGCACAATTTTCTCCTCTGGACCTTTTTGGACTCTTGAGGAGTTTTCTATTACACATTAATGTTATTTTTATTTTTATGAATAACACTTTCTCTTTTATCTCAAGCTTCTGTGCTTACTTTTTGTGCTGCTGTTAGTGTGTAATGAAGTTATTTTAGGAGCTATCTCCAGAAGGGTAGGTAGCTCATACCCATAATCTGTTGTTGCAGAGGTTAAAACAAGAGTTACGAGTTCAAGGATTAGCCTGGTCTACATAGGGTCTACATATATATTGTGAAAAATATTCCTTCATCAAAATTTCTTGCTGGCCATCATTTTTTAAAATAGACAAAAGGAACTGCGACAACTCTGATAAAACTCCTGACTATACACTCGATTCCTATACTGATTAGCAACATCACCGAACATTTTTCTTCGTCTGTGTCTACAAAAGTAGACACAGATTTGGCAATAAGGCTGAACATCTGCATCTACAATACGCACTGGCATCTAATAGAATAGTTGAAATCTTTGAACTCTGAGTTCCCAGAGACATTGCATTGTACATGTGCTGGTTATACACCAGCATCCACTCTTTCAACATACTTCTTGTGGTTTTAAAAAATGGCAGACACTTCCAGAGTCTATCATGAGTCATAGTTGGTCAGGGACTGGGATTTGGCCACTGGGATATGGGAAGATACCAGCAAGTTCCTTTTTCCACACTCTCATTTTCCCCCGACTGGGGTCATTGCCATAAGGATGTTATTCTTGAAGGTGCCTAAGACATAATACACTGTGAGGGAAGGGAAATGGGAGAACAGGCAACCCAGCACCCGGTTGTTCTGATTCACTCCTTATCACCTCCTCTTAGATATTCCAAGGTTTCTTTTGTATGAGAAAATTAAATACACTGTTGTTCAAAACTCTTGCATGGGCGTTTCATTCTTGCTAGCTGAAAGTAATGCTGGCAAGACCTTTAATCTATGTAACTGTGTTTCCGGTGTGGTGGCCACTCAGACACGTTGGAAAACATATGCTTTAGTCTTCCATGCAATATTTGATAGGTTTAAATGGTAGTCTGTATTCTAGATGCATGCTACAGGATTTCTTTCAGATTGCCTGGGATCCACCAAGCATAATGTGGAACTAGTTGCTTTTTAGTCCAAGAATTTGGAAAATGTGCACAGTATGTTGCCAGAGAGTCTTCTCCATAGCTACCACAATACTGATTCAGTTGGAGAGATGGAGAATGAGGTGAATAGAATTAATTTAGTCAACTGTCTGGAAACCAAACATGACATCAGTGATAAGATTTAAATATCCAGGAACTTCAGATTATGAGTCAGTCCAAAATTCAAGCTCCCTGATTTCAATGATGAGAGGGCAAGCTGGGCATGATGCAGTATAGGGATTTATTTCATGCAAAAAACTCAAATGACCAGTAAAATAGATAATGTTCTCTTGTAATAGTTTGCAAACAACATCAAGAAAACAATTGAGTAGATGTATTTTGAGCTTCAGGCATTGTAAATTCTTTCACTCTCATATACTTTATGCCTTCTTTAATAAACTGGAGAGTCTTGGGCCAACTTCATCGGTGACGGTAGGTGGTCATTCATTTCACAATCCACTAATTTTCATGATTATTCAGTATTTTATGTTACCTAAACTGCTTTGGATTTTGTCTTACTCAGATTGTAATATGGCTATAGCTTATATGATTTCAGAATCATTAATTCAATTGGCTTTTTCGGCATAAAGAATTACTCCCTCATGTTTCCAAACACAAAGGAGGACTTAAGGTTTTAAAATATGCAGTTGATACATACAAATGTGTGAAATATATGCTGTTTTGTTTACCTATGCCCCTCATTGATAAGATGTGGAATGCATAGAAAATTCCTAAGAAGGGAAACAGTGCATCAACAATCTTTTCCCACCTTCATGGAGACACATGCATACTTACATCAAATGGATATTTAGCTTAACAAGTGAATTCTTACATAGTCTAGGATAAATAAATATAAAGTCATCTAATGTGTTAAAATCATCTTAACTAAATTTTACTCCCCAAATTACAAAATAGTTTATGAATACAATGCATATCTGTTGCTTTTTTTCCTGAACTTGTACACAAAATATTCAGAAGCGCACTATTAGAATGCATAGTATGACATTTCATCTCTTTGTTTTCACAGCTATGACGCTCCCTATCATTAACAGCTTCTGCTCAATTGTCATAAAATCTATGTGGATACTGGGTGCACTTACTATTTTTCAAGCTTATGCCTGTCATCCTAGCTACTCAGGATGCTGAGATCTGAGGATCGTGGCTCAAAGCCAGCCTGGACAGGAAAGTCCATGAGCCTCTTACCTCCAGTTAACCACCAAAAATCTGGAAGTAGAGCTGTGGCTCAAAGTGGTAGAATGCTAGCCTTGAGCAAAAACAGCTTAAGGGCATTGCCAAGACTGACCAAAGGGGAAAACGATATCAGATACACTAAAATCTCAGGTAAAAAAACCCAATTGATTTAATATTCTGTTTATAGTGCCTATGCATGTCTGTGCCTTCTATCTTTTATTCATGCATCTATCTATGTCAAGGTAGTTTGTTAAATACCACTTATATCTATTAATTATTAGGCGATTTCATCTCATTTTCAATTCTTCACCATGTTCTTATCCATCCTTCCCTACATGATTACAAATTTAATAATAAAAACAACACACAGACCTTCATGGAGAGTTGGGGAAAACTCAAAGATGGGCATGAATGTGGCTTCCATCAGTGAAGAGTCTACAGAGCACACATTGAGAGATAAAATTCAGTGCAGATGGAGTCTGTCTTTTAGGTTCACTATACATATAGAATTAGTCTTAAGATAATTATTGTCATACTTCTCCCATGTACAAAAGAACTGTATGTATGAGTCTTCATAGTTTTTTTGTTTATTTGGTGAGAACTCATGACATTTAAAAATAGATCAATGGTTCTGAAGTTTTATTGGTACACATTAATTCTAAAAAGCTACATGTTTTATTATGATATTTTCATGCATATATATATATATATATATATAATATACTTTTGTTATCTCCATACCTTAAGCCTCTATGTCCCCCTCCCCCTCCTGATGACTTTTTCTTCCAAATTCTCTCTCTCTCTCTCTCTCTCTCCTTTCAACATTTAGATTCTATATATGAAAGAAAATATGCTGCAAGAGTCTTTCTGAGTCTGGCTTGTTTCAATTAACATGATGATCTCCAGTTCCCATTCTTTTTATGGATGAATAATACTCATTTTCTTTTCCTGTTCTTCCATCAATGGGAACCAAGGCTGATATGATAACTTTACTGCAGCATAGTGCTGCAGTAAATGTGGATGTGCAGATACTCTGATGGTATGCTGACTATGACTAAATCCCTCTAGATGTGAACCTGAAAGTGTATTACAGGGTACAAAGCAGTTCTATTTTTAGTTTTCTGAGGAACCTCATTCTGATTTCCAGCATTTTACATTCCCATCTGCAGTGTATGAGGACTCCTTTTTTTCCCCAGCATCCTTGTCAGTACTTGCTGTTTGTTTTCTTGATAATTGTCATGCTGGCTGGGTTCAGGTGGAAGTGAAATCTTAGTGCAGTTTTTGTTTGCATTTCCTTGGTAACTAAGATGTGAAGAACTTTTCTGTGTATTTATGGGTTATTTGTTCTTCCCATTTTGAGCAGTATTTCTTCAGTTCATTTGCCTATTTGTTTGAGGGAGCTATTTGTTCTTTTGGTATCAATGGCTTTCTTCTATTCATTCATCTCTCTCTTCACTCTGGTAATTGCTTATTTTGCTGTGGGGAAGTTTGCTTTTTAAATTTGATGCAATCCCATTTTCCAACCCATGCACTTGCTTATTTATTGATGTATTAGAATCTTATTCAGAAGGTTGTAACACACCTGAATTTGGGGATCACATCAACCCTTTTGTTCATCTGACTATAATGAGACGATATTCTACCAGGTAACCATTTTTACCATCAAAATTCTTATCTTCTTCCTTCTGACTGATATACTTCTGTTCATCCTTCCACATCAGATATTATTTCAAATGTGAGATAGCAATGTGGCCTCTGATTAAGTCAGTGCCTGAGCATTTCTATTCATTCTTTGCAACACATCTAGAAAACATCTCATTTCTCCATTCCAGGTGTCAGAGGGGATAGTTGATTGGCATTGGCAATAAGTTATGTGGCATAAACTTTCCCACGACCAAAGCTGTGAGTTGTGCTGAGTCTTCAGAAGTATGGGCTCTCTTGTGACAATGCAGGTGGAAAAGTTTCTTCA